GAGGTTAATAATTCATGAGGTAATGTTTGCAAGCATAAACAGTAGGCATAAACAGTCAGAACAGAATTCCATGACTTGGATTAATAGAGTCGACACATTTCCTTTGAGCTGACATCAGTGTCTCACCTGCCCACATAAGAAGCACCACCACAATGATGATCATCTCTCCTGTCTGCAAGTGTCGAGCTTTATCCAGGCCTTGGACAGTCGGGTCATCTGTTAGAGGTGACAGAGGGTCATCTGTGAGTGATTGTATTGAGAACTGAACGATCATTTATAGCTGATATAGTCATCACTGAGCCAACTCTGAAATTAAAAGTGCATAATTTTGATTCTTGAGGTCATGAATCAGAAATTTTGATAATAAATTTTCTATGCACTACCGTTCAAAAGTTTGGAGTATTTTGTGGAAAGTGTGATACATTTCAGGATACTTTGATTAACAGAAAGTTACAAAGAAGAGCATTTATTTGAAATTGAAATCTTTTGTAACTTGTAGTAAAAACTTTACTGTCATTTTTTATTTATTGTATTGTAGGCTTTCGATTCCGTTGATTTCAGTTTATTAAAAACTAGATTGAAACAAATTGGAATGTCAAATGAGACAACCTCTTGGTTCGAAAGCTACTTAGTGGGTAGAACACAATGTGTGCAAATGGAAGGCCATTCATCTGCACCATTGCAGATTATGAGGGGTGTTCCTCAGGGATCTGTTTTGGGGCTTTTGCTTTTTATTATTTATATTATTAATCTTGATTTTAATATTGGTCATGTTAATTTTCCTTTTTACGCTGATGACACTATTTATTGTAGCGCACCTAAATTAAACCAAGCGGTGTCCTTACTCCAGAGTGCTTTTGATGTTGTGCAACAAAGGCTTTGTGGCCTAAAACTGACTTTGAATGTGACTAAAACTAAAGTTATGTTATTTTCGAGATCAAAGAAACAAGTGGCAAATTAACTATCACTCAAAACCTTACAGGGTACTATAATTGATGTAGTGACAGAATATAAATATCTCGGTTTTATGCTTGATGTCTCCTTATCTTTTAAATCCCATATTAATCAATTAAGGACAAAACTAAAGGTAAAGCTTGGGTTCTATTACAGAAATAAACCCTGCTTTTCATCCGGGGCAAGAAGAAGATTGGTTTCTGCCACATTTATGCCAGTCATTGATTATGGAGACATTCTGTATAAATCGGTGTCTACCAAACTTTTAGGTTCTTTGGACACTCTGTATCACGGTGCACTCAGATTTATATTAAATTGTAATGTTAGTACCCATCATTGTGATTTGTATAATAGAGTTGGTTGGATGTCATTATCAACACACAGACGTAACCACTGGTACACGTTTATCTATAAATCCATCTTGGGTTTACTGCCTCCACATTCCCTCACCCAGCCTAAAGCTCTTGGAGCTTATTCTCTGTGCTCACAGTACTTGTACATTCTTTCGGTTCTATTTGTACGAACTGAATTTGGAAAACAAGCTTTTCAGTTTGCAGCGCCCAATGATTGGAACTTTTTACAAATAATTTGAAGTTGCAGACCTTAGTGTCAATGAACAATTTTAAATTCTTGATTAATGAGCTGTTGAAGGAAGAATTAATTTGTAAATGTTTTAAATTGTTTTCAACACATTGTTTTAGTGTTCTTCTTATGAAATGTAGTGCTGCATCTTGGCCAGATCACTTCTGTAAAAGAGATTTTTAATCTCAGAAAGTTTTACCTGGTTAAATAAAGGTCAAATAAATTAAATTGCATCCTTTCTGAACAAATTTATTAATTTTGAACAGCTTTTGAACAGTAGTGTATAGATAACCCTTTATCTTGCATGGCTCCAGTAGGTAACAGTGTCAAACACATCAGCATCACACTGATGCAGAGCATCAGGAAGGGTTTAGCTTCCTATAAAAAGCTCCCAAGTCCTCTCTCATGCCAGTCATTCTTGCTGGCTACTCCATTAGAATGGATCAGCATGATTCGGAGTCAATTTTCCTGTATAAAACTGATCATTTCAAACAATCTCTGCATGCTGTGCACTTCTAGCAGTAAGTAACAGCAGTTTAGAAGAGGATTCATCCCACTTGGTTAAACAAACCTTATAACCACATGGGTTTTTATGCTTCCCACATAAATAAATCACCCAAATAGCACTGCAAAAGTAATGTTGATTCACAACGTGATATACTAACACTGCCATAAACTAGTGCTGGGCGGTATGACCAAAAATTTATATAACGGTATTTTTCAAAATTATACCGGTTTCACGGTACATGACGGTATTTTTTTTTTCATGCATGTATATATTTTCTATTTGAAACCATAGCTAAGGTTTAACCAAAAAAGTCGCTAGGTTTGTCAGTATGAATATTCTATGGAAAAAAGCCGCTAAAAGGGTCTGAAAGTTTCGTGTTCGTGGGACAGCACTGGCGAAATCTTCCAACTGAAACCATAGCTAAGGTTTAACCAAAAAAGTCGCTAGGTTTGTCAGTATGAATATTCTATGGAAAAAAGCCGCTAAAAGGGTCTGAAAGTTGCTAAATCTAGTGCTAAAGTCGTGCTCGTGTGTGTGTGTGAGACGCGGGAGCTGATGGCAGGGGGCGGTGGATATTTGTGGCGGTCAATGTGGATATTGTGGATGAGTTCTTCTGTCATCATCACGTTCTATTAGTTCTACAGCTTCAGTTTCTGAACTTTCACGCTTAGTAACACATACAGCTGTTCCCTCAACACAGTGCGACAGTGAAAAGGGACCCCTTTCAAACAGTGTCGCGTTCCGAACGTTGTTTTAACGACATGCACGATATTGCGGTATTTTAAAAATTCATATCATAACAAAAATAAACACCGGTATTCGGTATGAACCGGTATACCGCCCAGCACTACCAAAAACTACTTGAAATTGACAGCTGAGTTTGGCACAGTAACTACATATGTTCATGTAGTACTTTACCTATTTCCTGGTAAGTAAAGATTAATTTTTGATTTAACTGAAGTTTAAAATTAAACAGTAGTTTGTACAGATTGAAGGGATAAAGTACAATCTAGTGTTATTGTTAACTTACCCCCCCCCCAAAAGAAAAATTTTACTAAAATAAAATGAAACATAAATATTAGATGAAAAACTTTAAATTGTTGCCTTGGTAACTAAACGAAATAAGTGTAAGTACTAAAATTACTTAAAAATAAAGTAAAAATGAAAAAATAAATAATAAAAACGACAAAAGCACATAAAATTAAAATAAAATAATATATATACAATATAAATAAATATATATAAAGCTAATTCAAAATATTAATAAATATTATAATTGTATATACATCATAATAAAATAACACTGGTACAGTCAGTCAGGCATTATTGCAGAACAACAATCATTTTGTTGCCAACTTTGCTTACAAAATTAATTGTTGATGAAGACTCTTTATTACACTTGTTACTATAAGAATCCACAAATGTCATAAAAAGTCCACAGTCATTTTAGTGAGCAACTGTGCAAACACATAAATTCTAACCCACCTGTCGCTTGAGTCCGGTGGACTGCGTCGGGGCGTTCTCCTCAAACTTCGCTAGCAGCTGTGTGGCCATCACCTTCACTTTATTGTTGTTGTTCACTGCTGCAGCCGAGTCAATTTTACGTTCTGCCAGAGATGTAGCTATAGAGGGCCTGTCGTCTCGATTAACCCTCTGCAGATCTTCCTGTGATGTTGGAGAACAGGAATTAATGGATTTAGACAAGTACATACACAAAGCAGTATGTTACACATCCACTGATCCAGGAAGATATGGCCTTACATCCTCAGACTGTCCAGCCTGGCTGGTCTTTCGTCTTTTTCCCAGTCCATCCAGTTCCTTTTCTTTTTTATCCTATACAAAATTTGTGTAGGATAAGCTAAGATCACAATAATCAATAATTTTGCAGTAACAAAAAGAAACTTGACTACCTTGGGGTTTCGTTTGCGGGAGATGGCGATGCTTTGACCCAGTTTACTGAGGAACGAGATGGGTGATTTAGTGCTGGCAATCAATGCAGCCTTCTCCTCAGGGCTCAGATTGTGGTTTTCTGAAACACAAAAATATGAATAATAACTACTACACTCTATGAATGAACTGCATGCTAGGGAATAGCATAAACACTCCAATATTGGCTTGACATTCCTGTTTGGTTTTGCAATTTTCTCTGGATTCATTTTTGTAGAGCTACAACTCACCACCAGGTGGCACAGTGTCCTTGAACATCTCGTAGAACTGGCTGAGGTACATCACCATGGAGAGCTTGTCAGGCTCCACCAAAACAGACATCTCCTTCCCGGTCATGATGGGAGAAATCCCAAACTCTTTTTCGGCCACGTCAAAAGCCAACTGGTTGTTCTTCTCCACATCTTTCTCATCCAGCGAGTCAAAGTCACTACAGTTATAAGACATTGCAGCATGAGAAACATCTCCATAAACCATAATCATGTTATTTAGCAAGTTAGAAAACCATAGGGAAGTGTTAAAAAGTGACTTAAAAAGACTGGAGTAACGGCTGCTTAAAATTTTACTTGCCACCACAGGAAAAAATTGTATTTAGAAATATAATAAAATAGAATACAATAATAATATTTCTCAATACTAATGTTTTACCAAATTTTTGATCAAATAAATGCAGCCTTGGTGAGCATAACAGACTTTGAGCATAAGAGATTCTTTCTTCAGCATCTGCTCTAATTGAGAGTTATGATAATACTAATGTACGCTCAAAAGCTAATGGGGCTTTCAGCTGCTCTAAGTAACAGAACCCGGTGTAAGAATAACTACAGCATGAGTTCCTGGCCTTTTGCAAAAGAGAAACTTACCCAGTCATACTGTTCCTATAGTGTGCTGTACTCAACAGATGAGTAAGCCAAGTAAACAAATACTACATGAAAAACAAAGCTATGAATAACTTATCAAAAGGAATGAGGTGAGGACAAATTAACTACCACAGCAGAAGAAACATTTGAGTAATATTAGCAATAGCAATGACATTATCGCTTAAAGGTGCACTCAAGTTTTTGCTGACTGATATTCCACAGCTTAAAGGGACAGTTCATACAAAAAATGAAAATTCTGACACCATTTACTCACCTTCAAGTTGTTCCAAACCTGTATGAATTTTTATCTTCTGCTGAACATAAAATAAGGTATTTTGAAGAATGTGAGTAACCAAACAGTTGTTAGTCCCCACTGACTTCCAGAGTAGGTTCTGATATTACTATACTATATCTTATTAATATCTATATTATTATACTATTTATAAGATATACTATCTTTCTGACCCCAAACTTTTGAATAGTAGTGTATCTTATTTGTGTCGACATCATTTTAAACATTCGTCACAAGGTATTATGCATTTCTTTTAGTCTAAAACCTTTTTAATTAGAGCCCGACCGATATGGTTTTTTTGGGGCCGATACC